GTGTTTACCTGCCTGCTAGACATGTCTCCTGCCCTCGGTCCTCCCCTGGTTCCCACACTGCAGCTCCCCAGCCTTTGCCTCTCCTCCTACCAGGGAGCTTCGGGTGCTTCAGTGTGTGATGGATGGGATCAAAGTCTCTCAGGACATTAGTGCTCTGGATAAGCATTTGGCACAGGAGCTCTACGCCTATCAATCCTACCTCAGGCAGTCAGCTCGTGATAAATAAACACAGTGTGACAGGAGGAATGAGATATTTACTTTGGCTCGTTAAGGTTTGCACTGAGGTAGAAAAATTAATCCCACAACAAATTACACCTCTGCTATTGCTTCTAGGGTTTGGGATTTTTTTTTAGCATCAGATATTCAGCTCTATCTGTTCTTCTTTAATCCAACAGAAATCAGTGGCTGGAGCCAAGAGCCATTGGGGGTTTGGAAAGACATGTCAGGAGTGGCATTTTGTAAAGTAAACACTTGGCTAGTGATGGCAGTTAGAGAAATTAGACGTAACTCAAGCTTTGTCCTCAGTGAGCTGCAGGTAAACCCCAATCCTGCTCCTTGTGACTGCCCAGGATAGGATCTCTCCTGAACTCTGGTTAGCTGTGGGGACATCAGGTAAACCTGAGCTCTGGATCCAGTGTTGCAGGTGTCAGAAGGATGGTGTTGAGCAGATCTCACTCTGTCAGCTATTCTTTGGCTTCTGTTTATACAGAGGTTGACATGAAGGCCTCCAGCCAGTCTGGAGAAGAAGGCACTGAGGTAGCACGCTGATACATGGGGGCTATAGAGTACCTCTGCTCTGGAAGCGTCGGTCAGACCCGTGCTGCTCTGCAGTGTTCACAAGCCTGTTCCTCCCAAGAGGCAGATCACATTAGTCGTTTTGCTTTGGTACATTACCCTATACAGCCCTCGTTCTTACTGCACATGCAGGGAGAGAGGTTGCCGAGACGGTTCCTCTCCAGAGGCTGTAAAGAGACATTTAGCTTCAGTTAAGACTCCTCATAAAACGAGTCAGCTTTTGGGCAAGACAAGGCAGTGCTTGGAAGCCCTCCAAGCTGGTGGAAGGAAACACAATACTCAGGCAGGGCTAGAACTGCTCGTCCCAGGAGATGCATGCAGGAGGAGAGCTGATGGGGAGAGCTGGGAGGCATGTAGGGAAGGGGGCTTTCAGGTGGAACTGGGATTACCTAGGGAGCTTATTAGGAAATACAACTGAGGTTGTCACTTGGAACCTGCTAGCAGCGATGGGCAGCACTCTCTTGGGGGAGATCTGGAGCCACAACAGACTTATCCAGGTAATCAGTTGTCTCAAAACATACCTTTTTTTTTTTTTTCCTAGAAACTAAATAGACTCTCTACTGAAAAAGGAACAGTTGTGGATGCTGTGGGCAGGTGGAGAAACAAGAAACACCTTCACCCTGCCTTGGCACACTTCCTTATGATCAGCCTCCAGGCTTGTGCATCCCCTGTGAAGCATTTGGCCTGCTGGCCCAGATGTCTAGGCTGTCTTAACCTTTCCTCCACCAGCTGGCATAGGGAAGGGGATAAAGGTTCAACCCCTGAGAAACACTCTGTGTCCCTGCAGCGGGTGCATGTGAGCCTGGGTGGGCTGTGGCAGCCGTGGGCCGGCCGGGCAGTGCAGGCAGGGGAGGCAGTGCAGGGGCTGCTTCCCTCCCAGGCTGAGGCTCGCTGGAGGTGGTGCAGCACTCCGAGACAGCAGCTCCCTTTCTCTCTTGTGTCACTGCGTGCATTGTATTTCTTGGCACCATGTATCCATGACATCTTGATTTGCAGACAGTCAAATAAAATAGAAAAATAATGTCCCCTGTTAATAGGTTGACACACTGCTTCAGGCCAAGTGTGAGTATTTCTATAGCATTTGCTTTGCTGCCTTATGTCAGTAACTGTTGCTATTGAAAGTAAACACCCCAACTGGTTAAATCAACAGCATTTTGTTTATTCAAAGCTCATAAACTCCAGTAGCTGTAGGTCACTTTATGAAGTGCCAACCCCTGGGGGAAGAGAAGGAATAGTGTGAAATTATTGCATGCAGTCCACCCATCATGAGCCTTAGAGGAAGGGATTTATTGGCAATTAATATTTCTTGCAGAGGAAAAAAAAGTAATCCTATTGAGGCAGTTCCACACTGAACCTTGAGCCTCCTAACTGGTTGAAATGGGGAATGGGGTGAAACTTTCTTACAGGCCTCAGCAAAAAAAAACCAACCAAACAGGTCTTGGAAAATGAAAAGTGGGGTTTTTTTTAGAAAAGGATTTGCAAACCATCTACTGGGAGGAGAAGAGTACAGGCAAAATGGGGCAGAGGAAACACAGTGTTCAGTAGGTAACTGTATTTCTCCACTTTTCCGTTTAGCACGATATCTGCACTGAGAAACTCAAGGGAAACACTTCCAAATGGTATTATTCTGCAGCACATATAAAGCACACTTAGGTTTTGTACACCTACAGGCGTGACCAAATTAGGGTGAGGGCAAAAGCAGTTTTGGAGATGCCCATAGCCTGCTTGTGCTGTGGCCATGCCAGGACAGAGCTCTGCGTCAGCCTGGCTGCTGCTGGCCGTGGAGCTGTGCCGGCACAGAGCTGCATCGGGGTACCTGCAAAACACCTCTGCCCATCACAGCCTTACAGACAGTGCTGCTGAGGCCACCCCAGCTCAGCTGAGGATGGTAGAAGGGGGTTTTGGCATTTCCTAAGAGCCAGGTTGTACATTCCCAGTGCCCCGGTTGTCCTCCCCGGCTCCCTGGTAGGTCGCAGCGTACACAAACACTGCGCTCTATGGAAGTTGGACAGAGGCTTGGTCTTCAGCAGCGATTTCCAACTTGCCAAGATCCAAATGTAATTAAGATGAGTCAGACGGTTATTTCCAGGCTAAAATTTGTCCTTCCTCGTCCTGAAAAAGCCTTGAGAACCACTGATCTGTGGGATGTCAGGTACAAAGCTCTCTATTAACACACTGAAGTCTGAAGGAGATATAGGTTAATCTGGAATTCTGATAATTTGGGATGCTTTGGAAGTGACCTTTGGGGATTGAATAGGAATAAACAGTGTCCAGGGCAAAGCTTATCTACATTTTTTTTCTTGACCATTGTAGATGTGTTTTTGATGATTGCTATTTACTCTTAAACCTCTGAGGTTACAAATCTGTCTGTGTGATAAATCCAATTATGAACTCATCAAAAATTTGAGTATTTAGGGAAAGGAATTAATCATACAACCATGTGAAAGAAATTAGCAGCTTCTGTGAAAATAATCTGAATATATATACTTAATTGGCAGTATTTTAACCCAGCTGTTGTTATATATTTGAAGGGAACAATGAGTCATAAGGTTGTTTTAAATAGACTTTTAAAAATGCCTCTCAAATGTCACAAGAAAGTTGTAAATATTGAATTAGCTATATTTTTAATGAGCAAAACCTCTCTCATGACTGGCAGAAAGGGTTCAGCTGAGCTTGTCCTTGCTGGAAAAGTTGCTCCCCTCTTCTACATACACCTGCCTAAAAGGTTTAACGCTTGTGTTATCCCACCATATACTCTAGCATTTTCTTCATGTGGTGAGAGAATCTGTACAGCTCTCGCTGTGGCCAAGGACTGTTCAGTTTTTGGCTTTCTGGAGGTTGCACAACAGTAAAAGGGTGCTGGGACCAGGTCACAGAAAGCACAGCCTTGCCTGTGTGCAAGTGGGGGCCCAGTGCTGAACATACAGGATAATATTTCCTTATTTTTGGCTCAACAGTGAACGGTGTTCAGTGAAGGGAAGACACAAGTGCTCAGTGTCTCTTGGGAGCAGGCTCTTTGTCAGAGAAAGTTAAAATCCAGCCAAGGCAGCTGTTAAATAGATGAGCAGCATCCTCTAGAGACCTTTCCAGTTGGGGTGGATGAATCTGGAGGAGTTTGAGTGCAGGTCATGAACTCGCAGTTCAGACCCAAACTGCTGCCCACCTGGTCTGGTCACAGGGAAGCTCATGATATTTTCCAGCTGTCTGCATTGTAGGGAACAATTCTATCTTCACTTTCTTCGGCTCCTGACGCTTGTTAGCAAACAGTTGGAATGGGCTTGCAGGGATGGTGACTAGGATTCTCCAAAGCTTTTCTGTTTTAATGGGATGAGAGGAAAGCAGGTGGAGAGATGGTGCTATCTTGGTTTTCTGGCTGGGGAAAGAGAATACCATGCCAAAGTCACGTTCCAAGTTCATGGCCAAGAACAGTAAAGACCTTAGAAATCCTTGAATCACATACGTGCCCATCTGGATTCCACCCTACCTTTTCTTTCCTTGCCTTTTAAAATTAAACGCAGTCTGCAACACGGGGCCCTACACCTCAGACATTCAAGCTTCTGCAGAGCATGCTTGCAAAAAGCCCAGGCTGTGGCAGTCCTGGTATGACCCCTCCTGCTTGCAAATGCAGCTTTGTGATTGCCCCTCTTGTTGGATGCCCAAAGCTTGGTGCCTGCATATGGAGACAGTGCTTTTGTTGGCAAATGTACTATTCCAGGCCCAGCATAGTCCCTGTTCTGTAGGAGGCAGTGGGCTTTTGTAGAAGAGGGGTTTTGGGGGTTTTTGTTTTGTTTTGTTTTGGGTTTTTTTTCTGGAGGAATTCAGTGTTATTCAGTGGAATCCTCTCTGCAGGTGGAATTTTTGGGATCCAGGGCTGTAGTGTGCCTGCACTTGAAAATTTGGCTATTTATTTGGAAACAGACATGGGCAAGTTCCAGCTCATTCATCCAAGCTGTCCTTTCTCAAGGACAAGAAGTAAGGCCAGCACAGCTGAAACGCTGCAGCCAGCTCCTGAATGTTTCCAAATAAAATGCCTTGAGTAAGTTTATTTTTCCCTCTCAAACCTAAATTTAGCACCCTGGAGAAGCTGCTTTGGCAGTCAACGGATGGTAACGATGACAAGATCGATCTGTGGATAGTTCTGGGAAGACTTGGAAAGTCCTGGTAAAACAGAGTTGGTTTCATTCATGTCTGCAATTTGTCCACAGCCCAAAGGTCTGCTCATGAACTTCCAATGGTTGAAAGACAAGATATTGATAGCTGTCTCGTTTATGGAGGACAGCAGATGATCCTGACTGGACAGAATTTCACAGCAGAGTCCAAGGTGGTGTTCACAGAAAAAACATCAGGTAAGGCAGTTTTTTCCTAACTGTCCCAAATGGGATAAGGCATATCTGTAGTGCTGTTGTGTCTCGTGGTCTTATCCTAAGATTTGTGCTTGTGAGTAACTCTACTCAAGTGAGTAATCCCATTCAAGTTCATGTAAGTAAAACCAAATCACTTGATTTAAACATGTGAGTAAAATTGGACTTGGGAGCAAATATTTGTGTTATTGGTCCACAAGAATACAGACACTGGGAATTGGCAGGCAGGATATGTTCTCAAAGAAATGGAACGACCATTATATGTTCCTCCATGCTTGTTTAATCTCATGTTTAGTGAACACTACTGTAGAAATAATAATTGAACATTTTTTATTGATGTGAGCTACAGGCAAAGATTGCATTTGCTTCCCTCTAGAAGTCTATGGAGGAAAATGTACATAATGTGTATTTTTGTATCAAAGTAAAATAATTTTTATACACATACTGAGATACAAGAATATACCACTTCATTTTCCATATTTTTTCAGATATTTTTATATAGGCTCAGACTCTACCAAAACAAAATAAATTAAAATAGAAAAGCCTCCCGTAACAGCTCAAATCTACTTTTTTTCCAGGAGAGCTCCTTCTTTTAAAATGTGTTTTGCTAAAGTTTTTAGGTAATCTTGCTAGCTCTTGAGCAACCACGCAGGGGGAATGAGTGGCAGGTTGTAGATTCTTTCTCTTTGTATCTTGTCTTCTTATTTGCTCAACTTGCACAGAGCCAGGGCAAGACGGTCCCAAGCCCTGACTGGTGTTGGATGAATATAAATAAATAGTGGGAATAAAGAATGGTTACTGGGAGTTACTTAATTGCCTGGCATCACCTTTACTGCCTTTCCTGAGCTCTTTGTATTTTGTTTTCATAATGGCATGCTATAATAAACATCACTTGATTTCTAACTCAAAGAGTATCTGACCCCAGAAAATATGCTTAGTATGATCTAATGGTTAAGGTGGGTAGCAGAAATCCAGGTTTTCTTGTTTACAGGAGAAAATGCAGACAAATGCATTCTGCTGTAGTTAGTTACCTGTTTCTTCAGAGCTGAATTGTTTCTTTTATATTACCATATGCATGCAGTCATTTCATCTCACCTCACTAAGCAGTATGTGTCCTTTATTGGATTTTCTAAGGCTTTTGCAAAGGGACTTGTTTCTTTGTAGTCTGGACTTATTTAACTTACCCTTCATTAGGCTTGATTTTTGAATTCTAAATATTGTGCTCTGCAAGGATAATAATAATATCCAGGGATCAAAAAAGCACTTTGCAAATATGAAGGGCCAAACTCTGCCATCCTTTAGTCCTGTTGATTTCAGCAAGACAAAGGACTCTGCAGTATGAAAAAGCATCAGCCTGTTTTATGTAAACTTTGTGTTCCCTTTGTGCTGTTAAGAAAACAGTTTTTTGTTGGTAAACTAAGGTCAGGGCAGCTTAAGCGATGTATCCAGTGACTTGCAAGGGATTTAAGAAATTGCATCACCCAAGTGAACAGCATGTGCATGATTTATAGGGTGATGCCTTTGGCAAAAAGTAAGAATCGAGCCAAAAAATTACTGTATGTGGGCATCAGCTGGTGATGTGGGGGGGAAAAAAGCATGCTGTGTGTCCCAGTTTCTTCCCACACCACCAGGAAGCCATGCTATTTTACAGCAAGAATGAAAGGCTCTGGGCCTCTGAACTGCGAAGGTTCAGATGAGCCTGTGCAGTCAGAGCAATTTTCTTGGCACCCTGTATTTCCTTTCAAGCTTGTGTATTAATTCCTTCCCACTGTGCTGCCACTGTTCCGTCGCTGTCAGCGAATCGTGAAGGTGCATGGGAACATGCTTGGCAGCCCGCGATGGTACCTGTCCCAAGAATGTTTTGCAGTAACTAAAGGAGATACACTGAAAGGAGGTAGCTCTTAATGCCATTTCGAGGAAACATCCAAAACGCCCTGCCCCTATTTCCATATAAGAGCAGAGAAGGCTCTGGCTGGAATAGATGTTAGAAAGTAAAAAGAACAACAACATTTTCCACACTAAATCTAAAGCTTTTCTTCACTGCTGGGGAAAGTGCGCTTTTTTTTCTCTTCTTTTTTTACCTCCTGGTAGGGAGAGGCATGACTTATCCCAGCGGCAGTGCCCAGTCTGGAGCAGGGATTTGCATGCTGGTGTTCCATATCCTGCCTCCTCCAACACTACTCAGCCTCTGAAAGCAGTCTCAGTCTGCTAGACTTTGAATAAATGATTGGCAGAGGAGGAATTTAGAGGATGGGAGGTCCAAAGTAAAATCTTTGGTCTCAGTCAGAATTCTGTGTAGTTTGCAGTGTGTTATCTGGGGGATTCTGCTCTGTGCTGAAGGCAAGCTTGTTCTCTGTGTATCTATGCACTGTTTTATATTGCAGTGATACCTCTTAACAGATATGCCCTGAAGTGCTTTTAAGTGAAGATTGCTTTCTTTAATAGATATACCTTAAGGTGAGGAAGGTTAAGGAGCTGAGCTGGATATGCAAATCATGCAGGAGCTGATCTGACTTTGGCTGACAGCAGCATACTGAGAATTAAGCCTTTGTGCTTGGGTTGTCAGAGGTTAATGAATGTCCCAGCTTGCCTGAAAACTAGGACCTGATGCACCTGTGACTTTCAGCTTCCCTCTCGATAAGCTGTAGACAATTTTAATTATCATTACTGTGTCCATACTTAGTCGTCATTGCATTAGGCTGCATGAACACAGAACAAAAAGGTCCAGTTCTGCAGCCTGATTTATCAATTCGATATGTCACTGGGTGGAAGGAGGAGGTGGATCCTGCACTCGCCTTGGGGAGCTCACTCGCTGCAGATCTGATCTGCACAGCACCTTGCAAAAAGTGCTGATAAGCTGCTCAGAAGCAAAGTAAGCCACAATAAACATCCCTGTGGGTGGATAGTGCATCACTGGCCTGACCATGTCATCGTTGCGCCCTCTCCAGAGCGCTACGCTGCCCCCGGGGACCCTGTGAAAGAATCGCACCTTTGTGAAGGCAGGAAGATGCACCAAGCTCACAGGGGAAACATGGTTTTCTTCGAATTTCATTTTAACAGCTCGCAAGCCTTGTCTGTGCTAGCAAGTGGTGTTCCATTTCCAACTTTTGCCACCAATTTTAGCTCTACTAGTAACGACAACACTGAGAGCAGTAGTGTAGATAGCTTTCGGCATGCTGTACTCCATAGAGCTCCTTGACTTAGCTTGTTTGTCCAGTGCTGGAGAGTAGCAAGTCTTTTTTCCCAAAAAACCTTTGTGGAGGTGACTTTGTGCAGTGAGATAGTCTCCTGTTAATTATTTCATGGACTCCAAAATTCTGGGTGTACTCTGAATCTGGGGTCTGGATTGGTGTCTGCAGTGAAGCAGATGCGAAGGTGGTCGGTGTGCCTTACAAATCTGAGGAAACTGGTGTTGGGGCTCACAATTGTAATTTATCCCTCAGGCAGACACTTTAAAACTATTTCAATTTCCTGTGGATCTTGTAGGCAATTCTTCACTCAGTACTAGCAACAGAGAGAAATGTAGAAGTGTTCGTATTTGTGACTGAAATAGAACATGCCTCCAAGAACAATAATGAACAGTTTTTATTTCTCTGTTACATAGCACTACAGATGGGTATATTTTTCCCTATAAATACCTAAAATGTAAAGAATATTCTCCAGCTTAGGATGGGATGTCATTATGAAAATAACTGCCTTTATTATGTGAACTATAAACTCTTGTAATGAGCTCGCCAGTGAGAAGTCTGTAAAAGTCTCTCATTTTAGCCTTGCGACAGGAAATGGCAGCAGGAAGTGAACTGAAGGGGCTGGAGCTCAGTGCTCTGTGTTCCAGCGAGGGGATAAAGTACTTGCATTTGAAATGTTGATGCATAAATAGCATTCATTTTCTTAATGATAAGGTTTACCAACTTGCAAGCATTACAGGTTTTGAGTTCTTTTTAAGGTTATCTCTTCCTGATGAAAGATTGTAATCTGTAGCTGCTGTAAGCCAGCGGAACTCATGAATTCGGTACAGTCAGTCCAGCATACAAAAGCAGAGTTTGGGTAGAGGAGTTTTAAGATCTGAACTCAGAGACACGTAACTGAGCCCAGCTAAATAAAAATAGGTCAGAGGAAGCAACTAGATTGGATTGTGCAGATAGAAACTTTTGAAGTGCATGTATTCTTTTACTTTTGATCTGGAAGAGAGAGAGCTTGAAAAGCAGTCATAGAGCTATCAAGGATTTGGAATATGCTAAAGGTCAAGGGTGTTAGTTTTGGTTGGGGCCCAGATCTTACAATGCAGTTAAAAAAAGAAAAGGTTTGGAATTCCCCCTTTTATTTGTTTTAATTGTCATGTAATAATTTGCAAGTCAGATGTTGTTGGTTGCATTGTGTTTACTCCCATCTGTGTACTGGTTACTGCTGCTCTGCTGTGAGTGATAGAGGAGTTTCATGTTTCTCTGGGAGAAAAGTGCAAATGGACTGTGCTTTCCCCTGCCAAACTCTTATGGTGGCCACATGGACATCATGAATCATCGCTAGGACAATGTGGGTGGTGGAGGAACAACCCAAACAGAAAGCGTACATCTTTGGAGTAGATCCACCATAAATCTTTCAATTTGGCCATGCAGTGTAAAGAGAGGAGGTGGTGCTCTCTGTGCCCTCTGAACTGATGCAGCTGTCAAGGCCTCTGAAACATGGACATTCAAAGTGTATTTGACAAAAATAAATCTCTCCAGCTTTAGATTCAAGCAGTGGAGTTCTAGTTTCTTTTTCCTCTGAGTTTCTGCACGTCTGTCACCTCGGTGATCTTTTCATGACAGTGGTTTCTTAGGACACTAATAGCTAGAGCAGGTGAGCTTGGACGTACTTGAATATCTACTGTTTTCAGGAGAGCTCACCACAGGACAGGGTTGGGACCACTGTGTTCAGTGTGTCAGCAGCGAGTTGAGGCTTTCATCCGCACAGTGCCCAAAATGCTGTGTGTGAATGGAGGCACT